TTCTCTGTGCAGCTCCCTCCTTTCCAACAGTTTGCTCTGTAAAATCCAGCAGCCTCCTGAATTCCAGTCTCCACCCCTCTCAGCAAGCTGACTGTGCTCTGAGTAGGTCTCCTTCTTACCTCATTACTTTATCTTCTCAAGGATTGCAGTCTGTGGGCTGGGGCAGGGGGGAGATTGCAGGCTTCCAGTCTGGTACTGATTGTTCTTCAGAGTCAAAAGCAGAAGCTCTACTTTTAAAAAAAGTTTTGTTTTTTTTTTGAGACAGAGCCTTAAGCTGTCCCCCTTGGTAGAGTGCCGTGGCATAACAGCTCACAGCAACCTCCAACTCCTGGGCTCAAGCAAGTCTCCTGCCTCTGCCTCCCAAGTAGCTGGGAACACAGGTGCTTGCCACAACGCCCGGCTATGTTTTTTGGCCATCATTGTTGTTTGGCAGGCCCCGGCTGGATTCGAACCCACCACCTTAGATGTATGTGGCTGATACCTTAGCCACTTGAGCCACAGGCACTGAGCCAAAAATAACTTTTGAGTTTATTTACTAGTTTTACTATCTAGTTCTGTCATAATTACTTTGATCTTTATTAATCTCTTTTTACTGACTTCCTTAATTTTATTCTTTTTATAACTTTGTGTATTTTTATTCTTTTTTTTTTTTTATTAAAAATAGTTAGTGCTGTGAATTTTTCTCTAAGGAACTCCATTAGCTATTTCCACAGGTATATGATATGTAGCATTTGGGGGGTCATTATTCTCTAGGTAATCTGTAGTTTGAGGTTTTTCTCTTTGACAGAATTATTCTAGTGGTTTTAAAAAATTTTGATGTGGTAGAGTTTTTCTGTTTCAGTTTTTTAGTTCTGTTATTAATATTTAGTTATTAATATATTGCCTTTTAAATAAAGTTCTCTATATTGTTCATAATTTTAGAAAATGGTTTAGGGCGGTGCCTGTGGCTCAAAGGAGTAGGGTGCCAGCCCCATATGCCGAAGGTAGGGAGTTCAAACCCAGCCCCAGCCAAAAACTGCAAAAAAAAGATCTCAAGAAAATGGTTGAAGTTTTCTCTGTAAATTAAAATAGAGTCATTATCCTCCTTTGTAAACAAGCTGTTATTCATTTCCTAGAGTATAAATTATTGAGTAAATGTACCAATTTGGGGATATAAAATGAATTTAAATTTACAAAAAATATGTAAGTGGGGTATTTACTTTGGGTGCCAGTGTAAGATTATATTTTAAAAATGAGATTTAGGCTCGGCGCCTATGGCTCAAGTGGCTAAGTTGCCAGCCACATACACCTAAGGTGGCGGGTTCGAATCCAGCTGGGGCCTGCCAAAAAAAACAACAATGACGGCTGCAACCAAAAAATGGCCTGGCATTGTGGCAGGCACCTGTGGTCCCAGCTACTTGGGAGGCTGAGGCAGGAGACTTGCTTGAGCCCAGGAGTTGAAGTTTGCTGTGAGCTGTGATGCTACAGCACTCTACCCAGGGGGATAGCTTGAGGCTCTGTCTCAAAATAAATAAATAAATAAATAAATAAAAATGAGATTTAGTGTAGGAAAAAAGTATGAAAACCATGAGGCTCCATGACCTAAAAAGTCATCCAGAATGCGTAGAATGTGAATATGAATTTGTATCAGCCCTAGAGTAGAGTGATGTCCAAGTAGCATTGACATTAAAGGGTACCTAAAGTATTCTTTCTTTTCACTTTTCATTCCTTTCCTTTTTTTCCTCTATACAATGTTAATAAAAAACATCTAGATTACACAGACCCAGGCCAGGTGCTATAACAGTCTGTTATCAACAAGTGAGAGTATATTAAACATTTTAAAATTGGTCTTAGGAAAAGCAAAGGTGAAAAGAAAATTTAATTCTCCTGGACCTTTGTTCAAAATGTATTTTTCCATCTCTCCTGTAAGGAGCGAATTTTAATTAGTTTGATTCTGACTGTTTGGCCACGCATTTGTAATCTGTGTTCACACTTTGGGAAAGAAAAATTTGATGAAAGGAATTGGATAATAATGGAAATCTTGTCTGAGCAGAACAAATTGGAATTATCCAATATGATAGGGAGACTAGAGGCATTGAGACTGGTGACTGCAAAATGCCTCTCTCCAAGAGGCCACTGTTCTGCCTGAACAGTCTTGCCCTGCACAGGGACAGAGCATCATAGTGTGGGAAGTGCTCTGGTGCCTGTGTTTGAATCCTGCCTCTGCAACCTTCTTGCAGGCCTCACAATCTCCCTGATCCTCACTTTCCTTCTTTATAAAATGGAGGTAATAATTGTCACTTTGTGAGGACTGAAAGAAATGAAGTGTGCAAAAGTGCCTAATGCATCATGGGGGCTCAGAGAATGACTAAGAGGAGAATTTCCAAGGGAAAATGGACAGCAGGGCAGAGGATACTTGTGAGCTGCTAAGCTTGTTCCCAGCATTGAGAAGAAAGCAGGCAGGGGCAGGGGAGTGAGTGTGTGTGTGTGTGTGTGTGTGTGTGTGTCTGTTGGGGCTGGGGACTCTGTGGGCACACCTTAGGCCTTCTTCTCCTGATTCACTCTGAGAAACAGACAACCAAGGCCTTTTGCAGAAGAATTCCAAGCTCTAGTCTGTAATTAGGAAAGTCTCAAGAGTCTGTGCTTGTCCCCTTAATGTACCTCCCTGGAGCTTTGCCTGACAGGTTGCAGGCCCTCTACATCCTTTAGCTAAGCATGGTGCACCAATAAGGAACTGAATTGGGAGTTTCTCTGCCAGCAAGTAGGACAAGTAGCACAAAAAGTGGGGAGGGCCTCTGGCGCAATATATTATTTAGGTTTTGCTATGGAGAGCTGTCAGAGAAGGAAAAGATACTGTTCTTGGCTTTGGAGCTTGTAAATTAACAGAGAGACCAGCAGAAAACACTGTAGGCCCATATGAAGCTAATTGTAAAGCTCTAGGGGCCACATGGCTTTTTTTTTTTTCCTGAGAGAGTTGCAAAATCAAATAATCCCAGAGATCAAGAGACCATGGGTTCGGGGCTCAGTTCAGAAAATTCAGACCCCAGATCTCCATGTGCATCTTTCAGTATGAATTTTCTGAGCCCCTACTGTGCCCCGAGAGTTCCCTTGTCTTTGAGGTTAGAAGGATAAACTCAGGTCAGACAGATCTGGATTAATTTCCAAATCTTTCATTTCCTATTTTTTTAAGTGTACATATTTAAGGAGTATCCATGACTTCTGGATATTCACACACAAAGTGAAATGATTATGAAGGGAAAGCAAATTAACACATATGCCATCTTTGTGCTTGCGTGGTATACCTAAAATTGGCTTTTTAAGCAAATTTTCCATGTGCATTACAAAATTATTAACCATAATCCTCCTGTTGTACATTAGATCTCTAGGCTCACTCAGCTTACGTGACTGTGACTTTGCACCCTTTGACCTGAACTCCTGATTTCCTCTCCCCACCCTGGTAGTCACCGTCTATTCTTCGTTTCTGTGCATTGGACTTTATTTTTGGATTCCACATATTATGTGAGATCTGGCTCTCACTCACTCTTTTATGGCCTTGGGGACCCACAAATCGTCTGGCCAATTCCTTTTTTTAAAAAAATTCTCACATCAGTATGGTGATTGTGAGGATTTAAGGATTTTTTTTAGCATAGGGCCTGTACCAGGCACTCAGGAGGTACAGATAAAGGAGCTTAATTTTATTTCTTCAAGGCAGTGACTTTGGGTGGCTGGGGCTTAAGACATTTGGCTGTCACTATGTGGGCCTTAAACATTCTACAATGCATAGGGCAGCTTACCTCCTTTTCTCCCTTACGCTCCATCCTCTGACTTTGGAATTAGAAGATGAAAATGAGCCCATTATAGCTTAGGCTCGATCTTCAAAGAGGGAGGCTGTCATGGTCCTTAATGCCGTTTTTTTATGCTGCATCCTATGTGGACTGCCGGCCCAGTCCTGCGTTCCTCCAGACGGGGAGGGGGGGGGCCTTTCCCACTCAGTGCGTCCTGGTGGACTATGCCATCCTCATCCATATATGCGTCCCCAATTAAAGCCTTCCCGCCATCCTGGGGAAGTGGCCTGAGCTTGCACGGCAGTGAAAGTGAAAGGAGGGAAACGCCCCCCACCCAGCCATTCGGGCCCCAGCTCTGTGCTCTGCAGGCCCCTGGGCTGGAAGGAGACCAGGTGCCTGCACAGAATACCGGGAGGTTTGGGGCAGGGGCAGCGCTTTTATGGGGGGCCATCAGCCTGAAAGAGGCCAGTTTCCTGTGGCAGCGGCTCCACAAAGCACACCCGCCACGTTCAGGGCCATCATCCGCGAGCCCCAGAGGCAGGGCAGGCGAGCGCTTGCCGGCTCCACTCGGGTGTTCTGAGCAGGCACCTGCTTCTCCTTCCAGCCAGGGGCCTGCAGAGCACGGTGGGCTGTGGTCGCAGAGGCGGTGGGCGACTTGGGGGTCAAGTCACCCCCAAATTGGCCGCGACTCAACCTTGAAAGGGCCCCAGGAGAGCGGTGGGAGTGAGACGGGAGGGGCGAAGGGAAGTTTGTCTTCCTCCAAGCCCAGGAGGGGACTTCCCCAGGGCTGCATTTTCCAGGATGCTCCTTGGGTCAGACTGGAGACGGCTGGCTGGGCAGTGACCGCAGGGGGAGGGGAAGAGGGTTCATCAGTCGCCGAGTGCTCTGTGTGCTCCTTAAGCCAAGATCTGATTTCAGGGAGCATGGCTATGTGCTGAGTCAAAGCCCGCTCCTGGGTTGGTTCTGCTGCGGGCGGAGAGGGGAGCGGGGTGGGGGTGGGAGGGCTGAGCACAATCTGCGGTGGTTAATGATTGATCACAAATCACCCCGCCTCCCGGCACCAGAGAGGGTGCTCCCCAGAGGGAGGATGGGCCATGGCCAGCAAGGAGTCCCCCAGCTGGAAGAGGAGGAGCGGAGGGCTTCAAGGCGGAGCGCGCCCAGGACGCCGAGGGCCCGGGAGCTGCGGCTCTTGTTCCTCCGCCCTCTCCCCGCCTCGCCTACACACAGACACAAGCCCCAAAACCCCACCCCCAGGCGCCTCCTGGGCCTCTGCTTGGGTAGGCTACTCCAGGAAGTTTCCATGAAAGCACCTGTAAAACTACGGTACCTTTGCCAGGAGAAAAAAATCCAGCACCCAGTAAGGTGAGTTGCAGCCAAAAACTTTGGGCTCTTTTGGGAAGAGGAAGGGAAGTTGAGAAGCTTCCTAGACCTGGTGGTGCAGCGCTCTGCCTCATGGCTTCACCCCACAGCCCCGGCAGTGACTGCTCCCACATCATCGATCACAGCCATGTCCCCGAGTTTGAGGTGGCCACCTGGATCAAGATCACTCTCACCCTCGTGTACCTGGTCATCTTTGTTGTGGGTATCCTGGGGAACAGCATCACCATTCGGGTCACCCAGGTGCTGCAGAAGAAAGGCTACTTGCAGAAGCAGGTGACGGATCACATGGTGAGTCTGGCCTGCTCGGACATCTTGGTGTTCCTCATTGGCATGCCCATGGAGTTCTACAGCATCATCTGGAACCCCCTGACCACGCCCAGCTACGCCGTGAGCTGTAAGCTTCACACTTTCCTCTTCGAGGCTTGCAGCTATGCCACACTGCTGCATGTGCTGACGCTCAGTTTTGAGCGCTACGTCGCCATTTGTCACCCCTTCCGATATAAGGCCGTGTCAGGACCCTGCCAGGTGAAGCTGCTGATTGGATTCGTCTGGATCACTTCCGCTCTGGTGGCACTGCCCTTGCTTTTTGCCATGGGTATTGAGTACCCTCTGGTGAATGTGCCTAGCCACCGGGGTCTCACTTGCAACCGCTCGCTCACCCGCCACCACGAGCAACCTGAGACCTCCAACATGTCCATCTGCACCAACCTCTCCAGCCGCTGGACTGTCTTCCAGTCCAGCATCTTCAGCGCCTTCGCCCTCTACCTCGTGGTGCTGGTGTCCGTAGCCTTCATGTGCTGGAACATGATGCAGGCGCTCCTGAGGAGCAAGGGGGGACCGCCAGGGGAGCGCGGGAGGCAGCTGCAGCTGAGGAAGTCGGAGAGCGAGGAGAGCAGGACGGCCCGGAGGCAGACCATCATCTTTCTGAGTGAGTGGGGTCCACCTGGGGGCAGCCGGCTCCCTGCGCTGGGCGCTGCCTGCGGGCCCCTTCAGGGGAAGTTGGCCTCCAAAGATGGGAACTTAATTTAAGTTCATTGAGGTGGAAGAGTTTATAGCAGAATGAGGGCATTGCTCCGGGTCTCTGGATGTTTCTCTTCTCCATTTTGGGGACTTGTGGTGGGTTGTGGTGAAAACAGCGGGACTCAGAGGTCTGGGTGTATTCCAAAACAGCTGTGACTGACGGCAAATCACAGACTGTCTTGGCTAGAACGGAAATAATAACACTGGGAAGTGGCAGGGACAAATTAGGCAATGCAGGAGAGGTGAAAGTCCTTTGGAAAGGACTATGTTGTGGCAGAGATAAAGGGAACTTGTTTTTTCTTTTAGGACAGAGTCTCACTTTAAGGCGCTGGGTATTGTGCCATGGCATCATACCTCGCAGCAACCTCAAACTCTGGGGCTCTGGATTGCTCAGGCAATCCTCTTGCCTCTCAGCCTCCTGAGTAGCTGGGACTAGAGACGCTGGCCACAGGCCCCGCTCGTTTTAGTTTTAGTAGAGACAGGGTCTAATTCTTGCTCAGTTGGTTTTGAACTTAAGCAAACCACCCACCTGGGCCTCCCAGAGTGCTAGGATTACAAGAGTAAGCCAAGGAGTCCTGCCAAAGGGAACATTTTTTTTTTTAGAGACAGAATCTCACTTTATCGCCCTCAGTAGAGTGCTGTAGTGTCACAGCTCACAGCAACCTCCAATTCCTGGGCTTAGAATTCTCTTGCCTCAGCCTCCCGAGTAGCTGGGACTACAGGCGCCCACCACAACACCCAGCTATTTTTTGTTGCAGTTTGGCCAGGGCAGGGTTTGAACCTGTCACCCTCAGTATATGGGGCCGGTGCCCTACCCACTGAGCCATAGGCACTGCCCCAAAGGGAACATTCTTATCCAGCCTTGTCTTTACCCTGGAGACCCTTCCTTAGGCAATTCGATTTTGTTCCCATTTTTCTCCTCCTTCGCCTCTCCGGGCGGCTATTTTATTCCTTGGAGTGGTCTCGCACCCAATCTTAAGGAACTGGAGCTCTCCTCAGGGTAGTGCTTGGGTGTCTGCAGCAGTGGGTCTGATCCTCACCCGAGCAGAGGAACTTGGCAGGACAGCCTGTGCATCTGATCCAGAAAATCCAGCTTCTCTTGAGTCCCAGAATGTGATTGATCGGCCAGAATACACAGTTCCCCTGCAGAGAAATCTGCTTGTTTTCTAAAGTTGTGTTGTGATCCAATTATTTAAAGTTGAGGCATTTTTCTGTATTCAAAGAAAGTATTTACAGGGAACCCACATGTCTGCAGGCCCCAGAGTGGCCTTGGTTGCTGCCCTCTGGGTCACCGGGCTTTAATAGACACACAAGAAGTATGTGTGAGCAAAGGGTTTTCAAAAGTATTTTTTAGCAGAAACAAGAAAAAGAATGCACTGTGGCTGTGTGCATGGGAATCAAGGGGGAGTTGATTCATTCTCCTCTTGCCTGTGGCATCAGGAAAGGAATAAATCCTGGTGATGTTTGTTTTGGTGTGGAAACTTGAGCGACAGGTTCCAGGGCCAGGAACTGGAGTTGAGAGAAAATTGGAAGGCAGTGAGGGAGAGATGGGAAGAACCAGCCGGTAGCGTCTCAGCCCTGCCCCTGGCGCTGGCATGGCAGTGACCAGCTGAGCTGACCTTACTCTGTGCCTGTGCACAATGAGAGGAGGGAACGTACTATATTTGGATGCCTAGTGTGCATCAGAGGCTGTGCTAGGTAGTTTATATTTCTGTTATAAAGGAGGAGTTTGAGGCTTAGAGAAGACCTAGTTCACACTCAAAGATTATGACTCTGCTTCTCAGGGCAGGGAAATGAGTGTCTGCCCATGACGTCCTCAGGCATGGGGTGAAGGGAAAATGAAATAAGGCAGGACTTGGACAGGGAAGGTGCCAGGTAGGTTAGCTTGGTGGCCTTGCTGCCTCCGAGGGCCAGCCTTTCTGGAGGTTGACCCCTGGCAAGTAATATTATTTGGGGCAATGGGAAGGACAGTCAACCCAATTCAATCTCTATCACCCACTGACTGCTACTCAGAACATTCCAGAAAGAAATGGGCATTGCATTTGCTTAAAGCTTGGCTATTTGTTGAAAGACTAGTTCTCACTTTCTGCATACATACTGTTTTAGGCAACTCTTAAATTGTTAGTTGTAATTTATACTTTCATGTGAATGAATTTAATTATTTAATTAATTTTGTTTTATTTCTTTATTCCTTTATCTTTCCTCCTTCTTCTTTTTCTTTCTTTCTTTCTTTTTTTTTTTTTTTTTTACAGAAGTGTGGAAGGCCCTGGCCTAAGTGGCTAAGAATTAGAGAGTAGATACAAATTAGGAAGCAGTCTTCAACTGCCTTCAAATGAATTAAGGCTGCCTTTGACCAAAGGAAAAAAAATTGATTTATCTTTATTCTCTATTTGCCCATTCTTTGCATTTCTCTGAGTAGATACCTGTTCTCTGTCAGTGAGTCAAAGTTAAAGTCAGTCTCCATTTTGTAGCATAAAGTCAGAATGTGCAGACTTTCAGGTATAGATGGATAGGACCTTGGTGATCAACTCGTCCATCAGTAATCACCTGGAATGAGTTTGTTCTCGCTGCCGCTCTCATTCTTTCCTTCTAGCTCCTTCTTTCTTTCTTATAACAACTCTGTATTAATCACCCACTGTGATCCTGGCATAGACTGTTGAACGGTAATCAGGTGCTCAATGTGGGATAATGTCCTAGAGAAATTTACCAGTTGTATTAGCCCATTTTCTCTGCAGTAGGTTCTCAAAGCAGTTCTCACAAATGTCCTCCTATCCCAATGAATTTTAAAGAGCTGTTAAAAATAGGAACCTCGCTAATTAACTCAAGTTAGGAAATAAATTAATAGAGTGAAGAGGAAGAAATCATGGCCTGCATCCATCAGATTAATACAATGCAATTTACTTTGTGGGTTTCATAAAACTTGTGCTTTGGGGCATTTTTAACCCAGAACAAATGAATACATAAATTGTTTACAAATCGCTGAATTTAATATAGTGATTTAGCTGTCTTTTTAGTATTTCATTTCACAGATGGATCAAATTAAAATAAGTATTTGCTCATTTTGAACAAATCTTGAATTTAATGTGAAATGTAAATGACGACATAGGACAAGATGTCTTTGGAGCTCTTGAGGCAATAAAAAAATAATTATGAATTTTACCCCTTTGTTGTTAAAAATGCTAACTTCTGCACAACAGAAACACATTCATAAATCTACTCAAGATGGGGAAGCCCGTGTAGAAAATATTAATTTTCCTTTCTGCGTCTTTCCCTGTTGTGCCTGAATCTAGTTGAAGTGTTGGGCTGGCAAATAATGAAGACAAATTGGGAACTCTGGGAGAGAAAGTGGTGCCTGGGATGCCTACCAGCTCTCATGTGGTTTGAAGGAGAAACAATTATAATGCGAAAGTTCACATTCCTGGAAACCCAAGTCTCTTCCTTCCTTTTGTCAGCTCAGTGAGAATCAGTACTAGACTTGTTTCCTGTTGCAAGATTATGTCTAATGTAGCTGTGGAATATTGTCCAATGTCAGAAAAGAGGTTGCCGGTCTGGGTTTCTGCTTATTCTGGAGAACAGAAACTGGTGGATTTGGGTCTTTTCCTTTTGAGGATGAGCAAAATGAGCCTTCCTTACAAGCAAGTCCTTCCCAGAATTTCCATCTTATCTTTCTGATCTCTCCCTTGGAGTTATTCCAATGGAGATAGCGTCCAGGACCCTGGACACCCATGTCTATGTTTATTGCACACATGGCTTGCTGTTAAATGTTACCCACTCAATGTGAAACAACAGAGTATGAAAGAAATATAGTTTTAATCTATAACTTTAAACAGTATGAAGTGATTGGGACTTGGTTATAGCTACCTCCTAGAGTACTGTAGTGATTGGCTTTCGATTGTAGTTATGAGAAAAATTTTTTTTACAGATAACCATAAAGTTATAAAAGTAAAAAAAATCATAGAAGATTCAGGACCCTGTAATAATTACACTCTTTTATATTATAATTTGATCTCTCGAGGCAGAAGGAAAGGGAAGAAATTACATCTGTGTGGCAGGAATTGCACATCAAGTTGGGTTGCTCCTGGGAGAATATCTTGCTTGTGGACAATGTCCATCATGTGTGTTCGGATGGAAAAAAAGGTTGGGAGTTGATGCTGTAATAGATGGCTCTAAGAATAAAGTTGATGTACCTTTAGATATTTGTGGAATGAGCCAGGAAGAAGAGGGGAGAAGGAGATCAGAATCACATGCTCTGGGTTTTTAGACTCCGGATTTAGAGGCCAAATTAAGGGAGGGGAATGGGAGAAAGTAAGAGAGAGAAAGAGAGTGGTTGACAGGCGGTTGTCTTTATCTGAGGACGATCAACACCCAGAAAAAACTCTTAAAGTTAGTTTCCTTAAAGTGGGGTCTAAACTTTCATGTGGAAGGAGGTTTGGGATTTGAAAGTGAGAATTACAGAAAGAAACTTATCTTGTATTTTGTAAATAAAGGCGATAATTACAACTATCTTAATTCTTATGACAGTTATCCATAATAACCTGTATGTGGCTTGAGGCCATGATTTTTCTGACAAAGCCGTCTGGTAGCCTTTGCGTGGATTTTCTCACTAGGATCGTGAACACAGACAGGTCTTCTCTTAACTCTTTGCTATTTAGATCACCCTCATGGAAGCTGCTGTCCTGGCATTATCTTTGTCAATTTTCCATTCTTTCAGGATTAACTGGTCTAAGGTAGACAGGCCTTCATTTGTCAGTGTTCTGGCCTTTAATTCATCTGTTTCTCCAGCTGCCTTTTCATTGACTTCCTAAAACTCCATACCCCGTGTGCAGGCCATGACCAAAAACATAATTAGTTTAACAGACCCATTCTTATCCTCTTATGTACATCAAGGTTACAGGGAAGTGCATGGCT